CAGAGGGATAATGTGAAATGAATTGGGAGCAGGTGGCTCCCTTTCGGCACGCCAGAGCAGCAGATGCAGGAGCCAGCTGGGGAAAGCACTCATCTAAGGCCTTGCGCCGTTTGACCTTTGTAGCTATTACCAGTCCAACACAGGCTCAGTGCTTTTGTCCTGGTGGCTGTATTGGACACCTCGGGGGTTCCCTCCCACGCCGGAGGGATAATGTGAAATGAATTGGGAGCAGGTGGCTCCCTTTCGGCACGCCAGAGCAGCAGATGCAGGAGCCAGCTGGGGAAAGCACTCATCTAAGGCCTTGCGCCGTTTGACCTTTGTAGCTATTACCAGTCCAACACAGGCTCAGTGCTTTTGTCCTGGTGGCTGTATTGGACACCTCGGGGGTTCCCTCCCACGCCGGGCTCATATTCTGTCCAAGCACCCTCAGTACTGTCCGAGGGCCAAGCCTTGGCTCCGGCACTACCAGCACCGGGAACTGGCTCCGAGCCGGATCCCAGGACCAAGACTCTGGCAGGGTCTGCGCAGTGGCACCAGCAGTTGAGGAGGAATCAGCAACGTGCCTGAGGCTGCCTTCTGCCTTCCCCCTACCAGGCAGTGGCGGGAGCAGCTCACCGTTGGCTCCCACCAGAAGCTCCAGGGGGGCTCCGTTCAGGTTGGGAGGAGCGGCCAGCCAGCCGGGAGGGTACGTTGGCTGTAGGGGCCCTGTCGAGGTGGTCCTGGCAGTGCGAGTGGTGCTGAAATGCCTCAGCGGAGCTCTTCCCTCCTTCCCGTAACGCGCATGCCAGGCTCACCCGGTGAAAGGAAGAGGCGGCAGGTTTCCGACCCCCAGGGAAGTGTTTCCTCTTGCGGCACGTGGACGCTGTGGAGCCCCCGGCAGGATGTTGCGAAGAGCAGGACTTGAGCAAGGCTCACGGCGAACGAGAGAGATTCGTGGAGGGGGGTTCCATCAATGCCCAGGAGCCAGGGTGGGCAGGGAATGGGCGACGGGTGGGGTCACTTGGCCTTTCCCTGTTGGGTTCATTCAGAGACCTTGCTCTGTTGGGCACCTGGCTGGGCTGTGTCCAGGCTGGTCTGGCCGTTGCACGACCCGCCCTGCTTGCCTGTGTTGGTGTGGAACGGAGAGGGCGCAGGGCGGGCGGTGTTCAGTGCAGCAGCACACGAAAGCAGGGCTCCGAGGAGATACCGGTGCTGCGGGCAGTACCTGTCCTTTGGGCCAGTGAAGCCAGCTGTTCAGTGACGCGCCAGGCCAGTCAATGGAGTGTTACTGCCGTTCCGAGTGACTCCTCCCGAAATCCCCGCGGTGCAGGCGTGTTCCCTTTCGACCGTTCTCAGGGGCAGGGCCCGCCGGCTCAGGGGGAGCAGAGTTCGCTCTGGGGAGTCAGCTGGTAAGTCAGTTACGTGTGCGTGTGACTGACACTGCCCTTGAATGAGCAGGGAGGGAAACGGAAACCCGAGGGCTTGTCATCGCTCACAGCCAGCTGTGGGGGGGGACTTTGCTCCAGGAGGTGGGGAGAGGGGAAGCCCTGAGGAGTGGCAGAGAATGCTGGCATTTGGCACGTCCGTTTCCCCCGTCCCGCGCCATGCCCCTCTGCGGCACGGGTACCGGCCTGCTCCCTGCCTGCCCTCTGGGCGGGAATGTCCCGGGAGCGCGGCGGGGATGGGCCAGCACAACGCGCAGCCGACGTCTGGCTCTTTGTTCAGGGGGCTGGGGAGCTTTGCTCTGTTGGTTTTAGGCCCACTGTGCTGCAGCTCTAAGCTTTCAGCTCGCCACGGCCAAAATATGGAACCTCCTGGGAAGCAAAGAGCATGAAAGATGCACCGA